GGGAGTCGCCAGCGTAGCTCACCGGCGGCCATCTTGCCACAGTCAACAGCTACTGCTACAGCTGTTGTAAGGTGAGTGATCTGCAAAGAAATACTCTTAACTCGCTGAAATCTTGACTGATTTACAAACGGTTTGGTTTATTATAAACGTTATTAGCATGGCTNGGCTGTCACCATAGATATATATAAACTAGGGCCGGGACTTTAACGCGTTAATAAGTGCGATTAAAATGCGTTAATTTTTGTGTAATTAATTAATCTTAATTAACGCGTTAAAGTCCCGGCCCTAGTTTATATATATCTATGGTGACAGCCACTTCAAGTGAGCGCACAGCAGCCGTAAGTGATTTGCGACAACTCGCTACTGTGTCCACAGTTGGTGACATGGCTGTATGCTGAGAAGAAACAGCATGTATTTGTATTTATTTTATGAATGGAATATGGAACATACATCCTTTGTATTGTTTCTGTCATTGTGTTGTAGGACTAAAGTGAACTAAAGCTCCCTTACTCTGTAAAACGAGCAGAAATACTGCTCCTTGATTCCTGTGCAACACACTTTATTTAGTTGGAACACAACATTATTTGGAACAGCAGTAACCTGAACAGACAAGATTCAAGGACAAGCACAGAATGGATCTCGGCCATATACTTTCCCATAGGATGAGTTAGTACAGTATCTATACATTTAACCCTCTGAATCGAAAGCCAAATCCATTATAAATTCTTTGGGGAAGACAAATCTACTGATTGTGTACTTAACGTTACATTGTGCTTCTCTCAGGCCTTTGCTCTGGCTCCCCTCCCTTGAAATGGACTGTGAACACTATAGTAGTGTGTCCATGCTCATGGCCATGAACCAACTAACTGCTAGAGCTTTGCAAGATTTATCACCCTCTTCCGCCTTATTCCCTTCCCCCTTCTTTCCTCTGTTAGTATTCTTCCCATTTGCTCCCCTCCCTGTCCTCATCTTAGGGTTACACATTGCCTATTTATCTTTCCTTTTTTGCTCCTCTACCTCTTCTGCCTTTGCTTCTTCAGGCTACCAAATCCTTATCAAACTCTTCTTTTTCTTTACCTTTTTTCTTTGTGACCTCTCCTAACAATCTGTCTCATAGGCCGTCCTGCTAATTAAAGGGAGACCTCACTCTGCATGCACACTCTCCCTCTAAAGTCTCTCTTTGTCCCTAAACCTGCACTATCTAGCCATGTTTAGCTAATTACATCCCTATCAGTAATTGCACCACAGCCCTTAGGAGCCCTTCAATATAACTCTTTTTCTAGCCATCTATCACACTGATAGATAGACGGTACAATACATTTTAATGATGCAACTTCTCAGTCTTGAAGAGTTGGTATCAGTCAAAAGAAAACTGGAAATCTTAGGCGTACTATATCTTTGATTTGCACTACCTGCATTCATGCTGGACTATAACCGCCAACAGTTGAAAACTCTTAAAAACACATAAAATTGAAGAAACATCTTCACCAACTTGACAACCACTGCGGATCATTTAGAAAACATTCACCAACCTGACAAAACATGCGCAACGATTACTGCAAGCTCTGCATTAAAGAAACGCTGCAAATAGAAAACACGGATAAGTGACAGTTGGCCAACTTTATAATCCCTGAACATCGACAGACGCTTCGGACCTTTCAGTCTCCCCGTTGCAATGTGTTTTGAGCTTCTTGGATCATTTTTTATTTCTAGCGTTTTGTATTTGCAGTGTTTCGTTTACGCAGCGCTTTTATTAAATGCTGTGCACGTTTCGTCAAGTTGGTAAACATTTTTATAAATGTTGCACGTGTTGTCAAGTTGGTGAAGATGTTTCCTAATTTGCATTTGTTTGGCTCATTTGCGTTTTCACATTTGCATTGTTTGTAAAGCTGCAGTGCATTTCTCCTAATTGAAATATTTTTGGTCGTTGTAACGTGTTTGTCCTGTCGGCCTCCGTTTATATCGGACTGATCACTCACAACTAATAATTCCAGATGCATGAGAGGAAATGGAAACTGAGGTATACAGGGATTAACTGGCCAGATAAAGATTACAATGTGTGAGAGGCACTATGATGTTGTAGATAGTCAAACTACTTTAGACTGTTGGGTTATTTAAGAAGAAGAAAAACAAATCTTGAAACTGATTCGTTTTTTTACACATTTTTAGTTTTTTACACAAAAGCACAAATAGGACCTATATACATGGATTCATTAATTATAATTAATGAAGAAAGGTCAGAGCGAGGGGGTTGCCTATGGACTGGATGCTGTATTGGGTTCGGTGCCTTGCTCAAGGGCACCTCGGCAGTGCCTGGGAGGTTAACTGGTGACCTTCTGGTTATCTCTCGCTCTCTTAATCTCAAATTCAAATTCTTTATTTGCATGACCTTAATGACACACAGTTTTGCCAAAGCTTTGTACAATTACAACAAACACCTATACATAGATATACATTTGAAATGTATTGTTGTGTTCATAATACATTTGGAACAAAAGCAGAATAAAAGGTAAAACAATGTACTTTTTTTTAACATGACCAAACAAATATTAAAGTAAAATAAAATACACCCAACCTCTTTCCTTTCATGAAGCCCGTAAAAATAAAAAAAAGGCAACAACATGAACCATAAGGGTGAATTATTGATCATTATGAAGGATATTTCAGATAAAATAAATATGAAACATCAATAAAAAGAAAATAGATGTGAGGTCTGGTGTCAGTCCGATCCCTCATGTCTCACACACACACACACACACACACACACACACACACACACACACACACACACACACACACACACACGCTGTCTGACAGCAACCCCAGAAGCCATTTGTCTCTACTAGTGGGCTGGAAGTACAGTATTTGTGATTCAGTCGTTTTTGTCGTTCAGATCTTTAGTGACACTGAGCACAGGAAAGCCGTCAAACACAGTCACACACCCCCATGAAGAAAAGAATAGAAGGAAGAGAGAAAGGGGAAAGTCATAGAGCGCTATTTCTGTTTTGAGCTGCTCCCTTGCAGAGTCATCAACTGCTGTCTCACCATCTGTTCCTCTGTCCGCACCAGTGGCTTTCAAACACTCTCTTTTTTGCGTTTTTTGTAGACTCGTAGAAACTCTCATCCACTAAAAATGCAAACTATTTTAGAATACATTGACCCACAGTATTTGTTCGCCCTCGTCTTACATAGCTGGATATACTCATTTGTGATTTCCCAAAGGCCACACATCAGGCCAGCTTGTCCCTTAAACACGCATTCAACACACACTCACCATACAACAGTGCCCCCTGCTGGCTAAATCACTAATATCCACTCATTACAAGCTGACACATCAGAACTGTGGCATTCTTGGGAACTAAATAACTAATGTGTCAGACTTGAATGCTGCCTAACATGTAAAGTATACACACCCTGAAGCTAACACACACAAAACACACACTATGGCTATATACATAACCAGTCTTGGGTGATTTAATTTAGACCTTGTCTGCTTTAAGATGACTTCACTCACTAAATCTCTTTCATTCTCTTCCATGTTTATTCAGCACTTCACTGCAATCTATCCTGACCTGTTTCCTGCTGCTTGCCTATTCAAATTCCTCTTAAATATAGAACACTCTGTTTAATTAACTTGATGGATGCACCCAGTCTGATCCCACAGGGAAGGAGAAGGTAGAACAGAGAGAGAAAATGAGTGTCAGAGTTCTGAGGAGTGTAGCTATGTATATTATGTATATAATGCTACTGATGCCAATGTCTTCTGTTTATTTTATGTTATTTATTTCCTTTTTTGCCATGGACACAAACACATCTTTATTTTTTAAAGAGATATGAACTTCTATAAGGTCTTTTAGCCCTTTATTATACTAACTCTTGATGAGCACAAGTTCCTAAAAATAACTATTCCAAAAGCCTCTTTAGCTGGCTACACAATACCAACTCAAAGAGACCAGTGGCAGTGTTAGAATTTCTCCTATGTCTTTTATATCATACTCTATTATTACACGTCATTTTTTATAATAACAGGATATATTTAATATTTCCTGTAGTGTGATATATATGTTTTTGTTTATGTAAATGGTCTACAAAGGCTTTGTTTACTTGCATAATATACTATGGTGACATCATTATGTAACACTCATGCTTCTATTGGCTAGCGCTCCAACAAAGTAATCTATCGATCATAAATCTATCTATCGATTAGATTTATGATTAGAAAATTATAAAAGTAGGGTAGACATGTGGAGATGGTCCGACTGAACAAAACGTGATCCGTCTCTTAAATGTGTGTCAGACCTTATTTCCAGGTATTTTCCAAAATCCTATGGAGAAATTGCTTTGCTTTTTTGTCGAAGGAACCCATGCGCAGCTTACTTCCGGGTTTTAGCACGCGTCACTGTGGCACTATAACAACAGAGCCAGCCAGCTAACCAATCAGAACAGTCTGGGCTCTGGTTTCAGACAGAGGGTGAAAAGAGGTGCTGCAGCACAGGCAGTATGAGACAAATAAAGAGCTTTTTGAACATTGAAGCATGTAAACATGTCGCTGTAGAGGCACAAATGACAAATATGAACCTAAACATTTGAATAATATGTATAACGAGACATCTCTAACATTAATGACGCCATATAACAGTCATATCGCCATGCAAAACAGAAACCTTGGATACTTCCAATGACAAATGACCAATGTGCTGAAGAAAGAAAACAGGATAGAAATAGAACATAGAGCGAGGCAATTGTGCACATATAAACAATATATGCTTATGTCATTTGGTGTTGGTTGCGTATGTGTTACTCTACTACCTCATAGTATTCTTGAGGCTTTCAATTCTCTTGAAGACAGTTTCATATATTTGTATTGCCTCTTATAATTAGTTTGCCCTGTTTGTTATCCATTGGAAGTCTGTTTACGCAGCCTAGGTGTCGTTGTGGGGAAAATACAAACTCAGGTATACTTCATGGATGTTTTATTATTATTTTGCCTTCACAGGGACACAGAGATGGTGGAGAAAGAGAAGGAGCAGAGCAATCCAGAAAATCCGACTGGAGAAGGGAGGAGTTCCTCTAGGACGCGTTCTCGTGCCTCTTCAGTTCCCCTCAGCCACAGGCCTGCTGCAGATGAAGAGAGCTGCAAACAGCGCCCTGTGGGCGTGGAAGAGGTAGGCAAATGCTCATGTGTAAACAAATAATGGTTCTCCTGAGATTTTCAGTTGTCAGGGGATGGTCAGAGCCGGTGGCTAGTCATTCCCTTTCTCTATACTCGTCTCTGTCGAGGAAGAAAACATGTAAATACCAGTGGTGTAATGTAATTAGGTACATTTACTCAAATATTGTAATTAAGTAAAATGTTGAGGTACTTTACCTGAGTCTTTTTTTGTTATGCTACTTCATACTACTACTTCTCTACATTTCCGAAGCCAATATCATAATATTTACTTCACTACATTTCTTAAACAGCTTTAGTTTCTTTACAGATTCAGATCTTCAGCTAATACAAAGTAAAACATCAAATATAAATAAACATTGACAAATATACAGTAATCATAAATATCTAGCAGCAGTATATCAAGTCATTAATGCGTGCCTTGCATTTAACCCTATTTGACACGCATTAATGCATCAGTAACCATAATTGACTAATCTATTCTGAAATGGGCCATTATGCATAACAAGAATTTCTATACTTGGGACTTTAGGTATATTTTGAAGCCAATTTAAATTGTACTCAAGCAATATTTTTGAATGCATGATTATTACTTGTAACAGAGTATTTTAAAATGTTTGTATTGTTACTTTAACTAGTTAAAAATCGTATTCTACCACTGGCACATCTTGCATTAAAAACCTCCATGTGGAGATTTCTCCTTCTGTTGTCACCTTGCAGAATATCTTTCTACTCTCGTTATACTTTGATATAATACAATGTCGAGAATTTCATCTAAGTCTAAAGAGGTCATCATGATATTTTCCTCATTTATAACATGCCTGCTAAAAGTGACTGAACCAGGCCAAGACATAGTCCAGCACCAAAACACAGCTTATGTTTTAACACATTCAAAAATCAGAAAACAGACCTCTTCCTCTCGTAACTCATGACAATAGAGTGTATAGGATCAAGTCCCAAAAAAAAAAACTTTCCCTTTTCGGGGAGGGTCACTATTGGCAGAATCTTTTATCTCGTAAGTTCCACTTTTTTACGTCTTTGTGTCTGTAGGTGTTCGATATCTTGCCGATATACGGTCATCTGCAACCTGGGGAACAGCAGCAGGTCGTTTTCTCTTTTTACGGCCACGAAAATGTCAGCAGAGAGGTGGTGGCACGCTGCCATGTGGAGGATGGGCCAACGTATGAAGTGAAACTCAGGGGAGAAGCTTCGGTGATCAGCTACAGCCTTGACTCTACACATATTGATTTTGGTCTGCAGGTATGTATCCTGCACAGTTCTCCATTATCTAGACTATTTATTCTCAGTTCTTTATCCTAACCAGCTCCAACAATCAGAATCAGAATCAGAATACCTTTATTAGTCCCACAGAGGGGAAATTTGCAGCGTTACAGCAGGAAAGAGCCACAGACAGCTTAGTGTTGCATCTGAAATGCCAAGGCACACAGGGGATAGGTTGTGAAGAAACACAGTTTAAGACTACAATTACTCGATGAAACAACCTCACCCGCAAACTTATTGAAGGGAGAGTGTTGTGATCAAACTAAACCGCCTATACCCGGGTGAATTACGATCCCCAACCGAACCATGTAAATATGGACCGGTGATTTAGTTAGATATAAGTATATAAACGGTAATTATATGTACACATTAAGATTATGTGACCCGACGATTTGGGAACAAATATGACAATGTTCCATACGGATAGATACATAAAACATCTAACACATTAGAACGTACGACAATTTATGGTCAGTTTGAATAAACACGTTATACACGGGAAATACAACGGCCATTTATATATGAAAATTTATATGGTATACGGTAGACAAATTATTGACATTATAATATGGCGCGGACGATTTGGATTCTTGACGGATGTCCTAAAAACTAAGCTTCCTAAACTAAACAAAAACTAGACGATAAAAACCTTTTAATACAATGTGGAAAAAAAACAAAAATAGAAAAAAATCGTAATAAAAAATAAACAAATAATAGTAAATATTGAATCGATGAAAAAATTAGTATAACAACACAACAAACAAAATAATAAAACAATT